TATAATGTGAGCCATATAAGGGTCTATTTACATATAGACTCATAACCTATGGAACAGGATAAAGCAAAATCCTGAATATGGAATACTTCTCTGACAACCACCTCAAATGACATGTCCTTCTGTCATTCTACTGGGAATTTTTTTTTGGAATACAAGGATTGTTTCCCATTGGCTGGTCACCACCAGCCAGCAGTGTTTTGAGCTCACTGAATATGGTGGAATTAGTTTTTGTTTACAATGAATCATTCCAAGGGGCAGTTGGTCTTCAGCTCTTTGAGTTCCCAAAGGCTCCCAGTTCTGCAGATCTAAGCTACATTGATAATTCCTGCATTTCTTGCTCTTTACTTGGAGGTGTGGCCCAACATCCCTGATGCCTCTGTGTCTCTATCCTGTAGGTGAGGGGGGAGTCCAAAGCACCCCTAGATCAAGACCTCCTCCATACTGCTCATTGCCAAATAGACACGCTGGGCCACATGTTCATAGCAAAAGCTTTAGGTTCCTTCCTTAGGTTGAAGGTGGCAAGTCAAAAATTTCAACGGGGGTATAGTGATGCACATCTGTAACCCCAGGACACAGGAAGATCTGGAGTTCAAGGCCAGCCTCTGCCACATCAAAGTTTACCTTGGCTGCACAGCAACTTCAAGGTCAGTCTGAACTGGAGATCATGTCTTACAGGAAAAAAAAAATCCTAAAGCATGGATTGTATCTTTGGATTGTTAGTTTTTCTTTAGTGTGCTCTAAACCCAGAAGCAGAAACCTCTTTTAAACAAAACTCTATTTAGGGACTGGCTCAGTGGGCTAAATACCTGGTGTGCAAGCATGACTTGAGTCTAAGTTCAAATCCTCAACACCTATGTGTAAAACTGGGCACAGAATTCCATTCCTGTAAGTCCAGCACAGGGGTTGAGGCACAGGGTGATCCTTCAGTTTGAAACCTTGAGCTCCAACTTCAGTGACAGACCTTATCCCAAAATATAAGGTGGAAAGCAATAGAGGAAGATATCCAGTGTCAATTTCTGGCTTTCTCATGTGCGCATGTGTGTGTGGGCACACACACACACACACACACACATACACACACGCACGCACGCACGCACGCACGCACGCACGCACACACACCATCCAGAACAGTGTCTGCTGGTCTTTATTCCTTGAGCCCAATTTCTGATTCAGATGTAATTTTTAAGCTGGAATATTAAGAAGCCCCGATTATGCCCATTGGGCTCGTATCTGCTGAGAGCTCCAGCTTAGGTGATAAAGGAGTTATGAATTTTCCCTACAGAAATCATGTATTGTTTTCTCATCAGATTGTGCTAGTGTTCAGCTAGTTGGCATTCCCAGTATGGCAGGTGCCAGGATCTTTTCACTCAGGGTCATTGGAGGCTGTCCTGGAAAGGGTGCGTAACATCATTTAATATTGGCTCATTAAGAACAGGCCCATTGATGTTACATAGGTACCATGCAAGACGGCTGGAGCTCTTTCAGCTTTGAAGTCCATGGCGCAAAGAATCATCGCATGAAATTATAAATTATCTAGGTTTCCTTGGACTTCCTTTACAAAAACGTAGCCAAGTCACCCAATACCTTCCACAGCCATTCACTTGACACTTCCTCAGGGGTAGGATAGCTCTATAGGTAGCCAGCTTGACAAGCTTCATTCCTTCCTAATAATTCAGAGATCATGGAGTAAGAGAAGACAGATGACAGGATAAGCAGCATTTGAAATGAGCAAGCTCTGATGAGAGACCTGGCTGTGTTACCAATGTGCTTCTTGCTCTTATTTGTGTGTCAATATTGGACAAAGTAACTCCTTCCAGACCTTTTACTCCTCTGGGTGATGGTGTGGACTTTATCTTCAGGACTGTGTGTGGTAATCAATGTGGCCTGGTCCTGGTGCCAAATACCTTGTTCTTCCCACCAGAGGTTTGCATGCTCGCTAACCAGGGATTCGCACTATTTTAGAAGGATTAGGAGATGTGGTCTTGTTGGTGGAAGTGTCACTGGACAGGAGATTGTGGACTTTGAGGTTTCAAAAGCCTAAACAAGGCCCACCTTCTGTTGCCTTTGCATCAGGATGTAGAACTCTCAGCTCCTTCTCCAGCACCATGTCTGCTTGCATGCCACCATACTCCCGCCATGATGATAATGGACTAAATCTCTGAACTGTAAGCCAGCCCAATTAAATGTTTTACTTAGTAAGAGTTGCCGTGGTCATGGTGTCTCCTTACAGATACAGAGCACTTAGATACCACCTTACTTCTGTTATGACATTACAGGTAACTTAATAGCAAATAGTTAGTTTTTCTCACCACTGTATAATGTGCCTAAATGACTGTTCTTTCTTGCTTCCAAAGTTGGTGGCAAATGATTTAGAATGAAACAGCTGTTAAAAAAAAAAAAAAAAAAAAACTATTCATTCTATTTGAAAGGAGGGTTTAGAAAAAAGGTGTGAAAAGTCTTTTGAAGACACATTTCATTAAAAGTGGGTTGAGATCATAAAAATCACCCACTGACTGCAATTGCGGCCAATCACATACCAAAATGCACTGTATGGTCACTCCACATGAATAGCAGCTAATAGTCCAGTTTTGGATATCTGTGGTGAGGGGAAAAAAAATCAAATGCCAAGCAGTGGTAAATCTAAGAAATACTATTTGGGCACTGGAATGCATTTTATATGTAATTCTTTCTTGGCAGGAGACTTCCCTTTCTAATTATGTTTCCTTTAGGCTATTATTAAAATCAGTCTGCATTTCCCAAGCATATACGCCAGAGGAAGGCAGTCCACAAGCAACAGAGTAAGTCACTTATTTACTACCTGGGATGAAGTGCTGGAAAATATATTATCAATCAGTCATAGAGCATATGTATGGGGCTCTGTGCTCAAGCAACAAGGTAAATAAGGTCTACCTGGGAGTAAGTGCTTGAAGTATACTATCAATCACAGAGTATGTGTATAGGGCTGTGTGATGACAAATATGAGCACAAAAGTGCTCTTCTAGCAACAACATACAAGAAACAAGAATTAAGGATATGAAAGGGCAAAGTTCTTGCAAAAGGCTTTTCCAGACATCTCAGTACAAGATCATCTCATTCTGTTCAAGTCACAATGTATATACTCGCTTTGGAGTCATCATTACCAGCTTTTATCTGCTAGGATTGGTATGTTAAGACCTTGTTATTTCCATTGTTCTTATGCATTTTTCTTCTTCAAATTTCCTATTGATTCTTTAGGAATGGCCAAAAGATAGGGCGGGGTATGTAGTTCAGCTGCAGAACGCTTTCTTAAGACATGCAAAGAGCTAGAAGGAATAAGAGGTGGATGAGAAAGACACCAGTAATCAAGAACGGTGATATGCACCTGTGGTCTCAGAACGTGTGAGGCTGAGGCAGGAGGATCACTTGACCCCAAAGTCTCTTCAAACACTGTTCTAAAAATGTTTAATTTTACACAGAGCTGATTTTGTGTATAATAATCTTAATTCCTCAGCCATGAATAGGTTAACTTCATGCAACAAGCAGAAGCCACTTACATATTTTCTTAATACTCTTGCCCCATCCTGTGTGGTGGCTGCATTCCAGATCAAAAAAGCTCCTTTGATTTGTTACCTTGCAGTTTACTAGTAGTGCTGTCCTAAGCCAGTTTTCCCAATAGCTTTGGTCAGTGTTGTCTTCAATGGCAATAGCAGACAGAATCTTAACACAAATGGGGTACACTTGAGTCATAGTGCCATAATGTTAGGCGGCTCATCTTTCTATTCAAAACTGGCTTTTTGAAACCCTACTGAGAAGATTTGGGGCCACATGCATCAAAAATCAAGGTGTGGCACCAGTGAGAAGTCACGGCCCTAGTGACAAGTCTACTAGCTTTAAGACCTTCCACTATTAATGTATTTCAGCTAACAAAATTAGGAGAATAGAATGTGACATTCCGATGTCCTTGTCCCTATATGTGCTCTACCATACCCGGCTTATGGACTGCTGGAGAGCCCTAGTGCTGTCTCACACATGCTAGGTAAGCATTCTATCAACTGGGTGACATCCTCAGGCCCCTTCAACTACTTTTCAAAGTCTAAAAGAGGATTTTGGAAGAATTAAGTTAAAAATATAGAAACTCAATTTGAGGTTATTGATACAGTGCAGTTTTTTCCCCCAGTAAGTTTTGAGTCATATTTTCTGAGTGATTTTCTGTTGTGTCCAGGAGGACAAGATGTACTTTTGTATTTGTCAAACAATGATCGTTCTCTCTCTCTCTCTCTCTCTCTCTCTCTCTCTCTCTCTCTCTCTCTCTCTCTCTCTGTCTCTCTCTCCTTCTCTCTCACATAGCCATTCCTCTAGTAGTCATTAACTTATTAAACCCTTTCATTATGTAAATAAAAATTATTTTAACACAAAATGGGAAGTAGAACTGTGCAGCACCGTCTAAACTTACTTTGTTATTGGTTCTATTATCACAAGTGACAATTTTTATTTCATGTAAACTTTTAGGTTTCTAAATGCCTTATTTAAGTTTAAATGTGCAAAACGTTTATTTGCAGTTCTTTCCCTTTTATCCAAATAATAGGTGCTCACTCTTTTAAAAATAATAAACAGTCTAAGTTATGAGCCTTGTCTCTTTTGCCTTGCAATCCCCTTTCTGACAGCCTCTTCTGTACTTTGAAAGAAATGACTATATAAGTAACATGGGAAACTACACTCCTGCACATGCTGCTAACTTTGGAGAAGTCAGGTCTGCTCCTATGGCTTTTCTTCTGCCTTATACTGCAAACTCTAAAGGTTTGCAAATACTCAACTTGCCTTTATTCTCTTTTGGGGAGGGGAGGGGTAGGGGGAGGGTTAGCCTGCCAGCTGGTGAGAAGCCAAAAGTTGTACAGTCAGACCTGAATGGAAAAATCTATGATTTGTTTATTTCATAGTTCAAGTTCAAAAGCAAGAAACAATTTAAATAATAAAAGGGTAACAGAGGAAAAATGTAAAGAAAGAAAACAAATCAGTAAGCGTCCAGAAAAACCTTTAAGAATATTTAATTTGGAAAATGTTATTGGTTTGGAGGACTTGACTGAAAGAAAACAGCTGGGCAGAGTTCAAGGTTTTAAATTAAAAACAATCTAACAAGGTCTACAGGGATAACTTTTTGAGCCATATTTTGGAGACCAGATTCATTTCTACCAAGTAAAAGGAATAGCAGTCTAAGCTAAAAAGGAAATTCCTCACAACTGAGGTACTTACTATCAGCACATTTTCCAAGTTCTCACAAGGCAGCCCAGCTATTTACAATCTAATTTTCCTTGTATATAAATGAAGCTATGTTTCCTGTGATTTTCTTAAAAAAAAAAACCAAAACACTTATACACACCAGCCAGAATATGCCTATTTTATTAACATCGTGCTTTTATAAATAACTGGCTACTTCTAATAAAATTAAGCCTCTGTTTACAACAGACCCCAATATTTCATTTTGACCATTCTACAGAGTTTGGTGTAAGAAGCTGAATGAAATGTAGACCCTGAGCTATCAAGTAATTATGTTTCAATATAAAAATAGAGCTTTCCTCTTACAACTTAAGGTTGAATAATAACATGAAAGAACCTGTCTATGGGCTTCTGATTCTGTAGAATTCTGGGATCTTAATGACTTTTAGAACAGGAAGAGACTTTCACGGTGGTAGTCCTTTCTAAAGACTTTTGAGAACTCATTTTGAAATGATCTACTACATTCTCCAGGTTTTCTGACTGGTCATTTGGATACAAAAAAAGGGGCTCCAAGGGGGCAAGGCAGTGGCCAGTCTTTGCCTGGGACAAGTTAGGGCTGTTGCCAGATCACCCGTGTGGCTAAGCGTCACCAAGTTGATGTGGTCTCCTACCTCTACTTCCCCCATTCCTCCCACAAAAGATAGCCTATAAAAATCTAGACACCTAGCTCTCCTGTCAGTGGGCTCCTTGGGCAGGATGGAGAGCAAATGGCTGTAAACCAGTCTGGGTCCTTCATTTATTTAACTGATGAAAAGTGAGCGGCAAGAAAAAAAAAACAAATTAGAGATAAGCTTACACTCTCTTTTAAAAACTGGAATCTGAAAATATAATGCAAATATATACACACAGACGAAAACTCTGCTTAAGTGAGTGTTAATAACTACTCCCTGAGCCCAGGCTCTATCCCAGTTCTGGCTAGCTTCCAGGCAGCTCCCAGAGTGGTCAGTGGGTCAGAAATCCGGATCACTCCGACACAGGGGGACAAATGAGATTGTTGGTCACCTGCTACTGCCATCGGATAAAACACTGAAAGAGTGTCAGCATGGATACAGAAACTGGTACACTGTGATTTCCTAACTTGCCTGGTTTTTGATACACACCCCCAAGTCCAAGTGTGTCCATGAGATGAGGGGCATCCTGAGTGCCTTTCATCTTTCAAGGGTGACTACATCAAGAATCTTTATTTTCCTAGATAGGGTACACATTTAAGTTCAAGAAATTGAGCTATGAGTGATTCCATCCACTTAATCCAAATGGGTGGTCTGCAGTCTCTTCCAGTGCCCAACTCTGAGTGAAGTCTAATGCTCTTCTTGGGCTGGTGTTTCAATACAATCTGAAAACTGCTTTTGCCTTCACACGCTGCCCTAATGGAATACAAACAAACGCAAGAAAGGAAAAAAAAAACCCAGTCGCCTCCACTTCTCTCCAGATAAGGCAGCTCAAATAACAGGGATAACTGGAAATCTTACAGCTTGTTGGGCTTTTTCTTTTAATAAGATAACATGATAAATAAACCTGCTTCTGTACAGCTATTTAATATTTCAGAAATACGTACATGTTACATGCCAAGAAAGGACCCTGGTTTTCTTGTGAGGAAACAAGGTGAGATCATACTCCAAAAAGAAAAAAAAAAACCACAAATAAAATGAGAGAAAACAAGAGTGATAAGATCACAACGCACAACTACCTACAGTTCTGTACCTACGCTGTTAGCCACATTTAACACGATTCTGAAGGAGCAAATGTAGGGATCCCCGCTGTCCCCTCAAACTGAATGAGAAAAACAAAGTCAACATTGCTTAAACCAGTGGCCACATTGTAAAAACTGTACATTGTTGTCCATTCATTTCAAAAAGCAAAGTCACTACGATGGTAAAAAAAAAAAAAAAAACAAACAAAAAACAAAAAACAAGTGAGAACTGGTGCCTTTTAAGTTTCTGATGATGAACACTTTACTCAGAGTTTGACAATTATCTCCACTCTCTCTGCACCACGAAGAAGAGGAGGCAGAGCACAGTGAGGAGGTAGGGCTCTGCCTCTGCGTGGGTACCAGCACTGTCGGCCTTGTCGTTGGCACTCTTCCCAGAATGCTCAGTGGCATTGTACTCGAACTCAGAAGGGCACTGCTGATATTCGCATCCACTGCCACTGCCTTCTCCACTACTTTCATCACCTGCATTGAAAAGAAGAGAGCAGAGATTTGAGCGCACATAGTCTCATCAAGTCACATTAGAACAAACCCCACCCTTAAAAACCACAAAGACTTACTGATATCAAAGAAGTCCACGTCATTTCCATTGTAAGCGTTCTTCATTTTACTGGTCATAACCCGAAGGGCCATGATTTGACGAAGGATCAGTATGTCTGGTTTGCTCGTGTCAACCTGGACTTCTGGGTTGTTGCCTTGGTTGGCTAATCCATTTCCTGTCACTGCAAACAAGTACCTGAGAGCGAGAAACGATCCCAATGAAATGGTCAGTAAGTGTAAGAGAGCAAAGACTTTGTTGAAGTTGAGGATCTCCACTGAAAACGGTGGATTAGAAGTCCTTCCACTTATAATCCACTCTAATTGATCCTTATCCTGGGAATGTGCAGTTTCTGTGATCTGGCTGTGACCCTTTGGAAAGGGATCCCTTTTTTGCGGCGATTGTTCTGTCAAAGAAAAACATTCTCTGAATGGGTGCTTATCTCACTCAGTCACAGAGTGTGCCAGGGTGGAACACATAGAATCATCAAGAAAAACAATGTGACCTTTTGAGAATTGGTGCTTTAGAAGACCAGGACCCTGAGCCAAGGGCCATAGTCACTGAATGAATTGAATAGCGCTTAGCACTGGAGTATAATTACTGCCAAGCCTAGTATCTTGGTGCCTCTTCGAACACCTAAATGCCAAATCCCATACCCAGGACATGTAGAAACTTTGTGTTGTCACTACCTACAGTGAGCTGCTTCCCTCTGGTAACAACTCAGAGAGTCATCTTGGAAGGCCAGCCAGGCACCTGGGAAACAAGAGGCTGCTATTTCCCTCAGCGGAGGCTGACCTGCTTTTGCCCTTGCCATTCCAGCAGTCATCCTCATTGCCATTTCCTGCTGCCATCCTCTCATCATTGCAAACTGTGCTTGGGAGAGAGGACCAGAATTTCTTAGCTTGCTTCAGTTTCTCCTTCACATCAGTAACCTACGAAAGAAAATGGAAACAGTCCATTGCTGTCCAAATGCAAAAGCTACCATGCATGATCCCAGCATTCAAGAGGCTGAAAACAACCCCTCATCCTTGCTTCTGTAAGCAACCCTAATTAAACTCACTGGGTGGGTCTGTCTATCTCACACTCACTTTGTCCCCCACACACACACACACACTCCCCACACCATACAAACAGAAGGGGGACTAATTTGGAAGAGCCCAAAATGGGGTAATGAGGATAAAACACATTATATAAATGTTTATAACAAACAATGGCACTGGAGAGTTGTTCAGCGTTTAAGAGCATTTGCTCCTCTTGCAGAGGACCTGGGTTTATTCTTAGTGCTTGCTCAATAGCTCATAGCTCTCTATAACTTCAGTTTTAGTGGATCTGATGCCCTTCTGTGACCTCTACCCTTACCAGGTATCCAAGTGGTATACATGTATACATGCAAGCCAAACACCCATACACATGAAATAACATGTGTTAAAGTAACAGTATTAAAAAACACAAACAAGCAAATAATGTTGTTGGCATGGACTCATCTTAAAAAACTAAGCATAACCTAAAGTATGGATGTGCCTTTCAATCATTTCTAAGTATCTCTAGAATCATATGGAACCTGTTGTTTCAAGTGCAGGCTGAAGAAAAATATGTAAGTTTCGTACTCAGAAATGAACAATCTCTCAGAGGAATTAATATTTCAGGATCCAGGAGCTGCCTGAAGCCACTGTCTACCTCCCTCCTCATGTAACCGCTAGCAGAGGTCCACCAGCTCTGGACCTTGTAAGCACAGTCTTTTCACACCAGCCTTTTCCAGTGTGACTCAAGCATCCACACCACACAGCAAGGGTCCACTAGCATTATTCTTTCTCCTTTCCCATCACTATCAGTATCCTGTCAGGCTTCCTGCTCTAGGCTCCCTCCTACTATGGTACTAGGACTCCCAGCTTGCCATAGCATGATTCCCTGTATAATCTGTCTATAGCCCACAATTTTTCTCCTATCCTACCACTCTCACCTTTCACCTTACAGAAGCCTACATGCCACCCTGCCCTTAACCCACCTAACTTTAAAATCCTATACACTAAAATGCATCATGGAAGTTTCTAAAAAAAAAACATTTAAAATACAATGAAAAGAAACTGAATCAAGGATCTTTGTCTTCATGAAGCCATTTACTTTGAAAAGGTGAGTAGGAAAGAACAGTCAATGGTAAAACTATCTCTTCTATCTACATAAGGACTTACAGAGGTAGTTATTCATTTGCTTATATACAAGGTAGACAGTGATCATGTCCGGATGTTTTGTGTACAGAGCAAATAATGTGAGGATGTTTTAAACTGGCATGACCTTAACATGTTAAATGTTATCATGTGACATCAACTCAGGATTTTAAGTTGTTTGCTTGTGAGACTAGTTTGGCTCTTACTGAACACCTTAGACTGGTGCTTCCCTCTCTTTGTTGAGGTCTTTTGGGACCAAGGCCCTGTCTTACTGCCCTGAACTTCTCTTTGTGCATAACCTAGTGGCAGGTATATAACAGATGCTTAGTAAACACACAACAGGGAAGTCTGGAGATGAAACGTGTTATGACTCATTTTCTTGACTATGCAGGAACTTTCTGAGATAGAAAACGAGGCACATCTACTGCCATCCACATACAACTACATTAAAAAGTTAAACACCTAAAAAGCCTCACACTTGTATGCCTTCCAACTAAAAGTTCATTTTTGAGCAAATGTCTGCAGTTCTTCGCCATTAAACACGCCTATTCCTGCTAAAGTGCTCACCAGTCGGTCCAAACTAGTGCCAGCTGCTGTGGTTGGGCGTTGCTCTGGATGATAAGGTCTGAATCGAGCACTGAAGGCGCTTTCAGAGATGGAACGAGAAATTCGTCCAGCTGGAAGAGGCTTGGGAGGCCCACAGCCTTGGAAAACCTACATTGGAAGTAAGTTGAGTTCATATTAGGAGTGTTACATGACAAGACCGAGGGCGTGTTTAGCTATCCTGCCCAGAATCCTTCCTCAATACCTTCTGAGACACTTGCACACTATTGTCCTGCATGTTCATGATAGCATCAGAAATCTTCACATCGATGGGATCCATAACCGACTCAATGTTGAAAGGGCCCTCCAGCCTCTCTGCCACCATCAGCATGGCATCTAACAAGGGTTGGAGAAAAGCAATACAGCACAGAGAGTAAACCATTAGTCCAGCTTTGAGTATCTGTCTGATTATTTTACTGCCGTTGATTTTTTCAGAGGGAAGGAGAAAGGGAAAAGGGAGGGGAGGGGAGGGAGACAACACAGATTTTTTCAATGTATTCCTATTTCATAGCAATCGCCATGATTTCAAATTGTATTTACACATTATGTATCACTAAAGTATGAAGGGGCCAGATGAATGCTTTGTTCTGTGGCAAGGAAATTGAATCGGGAACCTTCCATCATTTGGATTATTCACTCCTTTGCATGTCAGCCAGCACCCAGCTGACAATCTGGCTGGGGGCAGAGTAACATGCCTGTTTTCCCAAACACTTCCCTGGGACCTTTTCCTTTCAGGTTCTATTTATGAGAGTGGAAAACATAAATCAGTTACAATCCTGGCATATCAATTCTTTTCTTTCATTTCTTTTAATGAGACATTTCAGATCCTTGAGTGCACAGTTGGATAATGGAAATGAAAGTCTTGTGGGAATCCTAATGACTTCAAATAATGAAACTTTGAGTCATGCCATTTTGGGGTTAAGGTAACTCATTTTCAAATGTGTTTCAGTAGTAACATGCATGATTGGTTTTGGATTCTAGTGAAATCACAAGACAACACACAATGTGCAAAAATTGTCCATTTGTGGTACATAGCGTCACTGATACCTGCAAGTCACTTTTAGACTCTGCAGGAACCTGTCATTTCCCAACAAGTGCTGGGTTCTTTAAAGAAAACAAGCTGTTATTTGTTTTCTTGCCATGTGTGCTTTTGGGGATTATGAGTTGGTATTTTTGCCTGATAATTTGTACAAAATTGGAAGAAATCTTGGAAACGAAATCCCCCCCCAAGGGGAAAAAGGATGCATAATTATTGACACACAGCAAACCTTTGAAAAAAATCACTTTAGATTATTGTATGTGTCTGTCTGAATGTGCCATGTGCAAGTGAGAGTGGGTGCCTGTGAAGCCACAGTTCTCTGATGCCCTGGAGTTGGAGTCACAGGTGATGGTGACGTAGGTACCTGACCTGGATGATGGGAACTAACTTAGGTCCTCTGCAAGAGCAATAAGAGCCAAGCTCCAGTAGTTTGCTTTTAAATGGGCTTTCCTCCTTTACACTCCAGTGCTAATGGATGACAAGCAAAGGAGTTAGATTCCCATTGTCTATACCTATAGCTACTTCAGTGTCAAGAACTAGAAAGGAGTTTTCCTTTTCAGAAGGCTGAGCTTTCTACTGGGAAACGGCTTTAACTATCAGCATTAAAAAAAAAAAAAAAGAAAGAAAGAAAGAAAGAAGAAGAAAAAGAAAGAAAGAAATCAAAGTTGGTCATCAACCTTATGCCTTTGACCTAGAACAAATGTTGCACACCAGTTTCAGCTATGAGGCCACTTCTCTAAGCTACAATCCAAGGCCACCAACAATGAACAGACTTCTGTGAAGTGTGACGTTTTAAAGTAATAGCAAATGAAGTTCCAAACTGCATTGTGGTAAGCACCAATAAAGTGATGCCTTAACCTTTAAGTAAAGGCTGGAAGCATGAATATGCCATTGTACTAGAGGAGAGAGAAAAAGATGCTTTCGCTGTGCTAGCAAAGGCGACTTTTGCAAACAAGTGGAGGACAATATAAATGTGTTTGTCACTGTCAAGGCCTCATGACCACCACATACAGAAAGCACATTCCTTCACAAGCCAAGAAGTTGCTGACTCCAAATAAAAATATTAGGAATAGATAAAAAAAAAAAAAAAAACATCCAAACTTCAGAGGTTTAAAGGCGGGAGGGGGGGAGGGGGGTAGAGGAGGGGATTTTGTATTTTGTATCCACTTTTTCCCCTAGTGGTGAGGAAAGGCAGATCGATCTCTAATGTGTTTGTGAAAGGAAACATAAACCCCAATTCTTCTGGCTGTTTGGCGTCTTTGTAAACTCAGAGCCAGTGGCCATACACAAGGGCCTGGGAATGGAGAGGGAAAGTGAGCCTTTGTTGGGGCCGGTGCCATGGCGTTGCGTGTTGCACAGCTGAAGAATGCGACTGGGGATGAATTCTGCCTGTGGCTCCCAGCCCAAGGCCAAAGCTGCCTGTAACCCTGCAGGAAGTCATGACTGGCTATCCCCACTGGCCCTTCTACGGCCGCCACCAGTCCCCCCCGCAAAAAAAAAAAATACCAAGAGAAATCCAAAGATGGCTGGCTTGGCAATTTTCTTTTCTTCTGGTTGATAGAGGCCACAATTCTCATATGCATGAGATATCATACTTGTTCCTGCCTCCTGCCAGGAACTGGCTGGTGTCCCTGTCAGCAATTCCAATACTAAATTCCCACTGGCGGCAACATGTGACATTAATAGGGTTGGCTCTGAGTCAAATGAATGTTAACAGAGGCACAATGTATGACAGACAAGTGTAACCTAAGAATAATTTATGTTTCTCTGAAAACCAGCTTCTTTTGGCAGTAGTAGAAGGGCAGACATTTTATAAAGGTGAATTTCCAAAGGCATTTCCCATATTTGCACCCAAATTTGAACCCATCCTGAAGAAAACTGACAAGATTTGAGTACTGAGAACTTGTGATGCTAGGTAGATGCAGTTACAAAACCAGGGAGAATCCAGCAGCAAGGCTGAATTGGAAAAACCCTGCTTAGTTTGAGAAAAGAGTCGAGTTTGGTCCAACCACCAGGTTTGAGTGGCCCCTCCCAACTCACCCAGAGGAGCATCCCTTTCTTGGGAATCACCATGAGTGGGAGCAGACAAGTGAGGGTAATGGGGATGAGTATGATCAAATACCTTATATGCACGTATGAAAATATCACATGAAACCCATTATTATGTATAATTAATGTATGCTCATAAAAACAACGTTGAAAAAAGAAGTATTCCCTTGTCACTAGGGAAAGTGATTCCTTTTTCGTTGTGCCTCCAATAAATAATCAGAAACCCACATCTTTAGCTGAAGGCAGTTTCCCAACTTAACCCAAGATGTGATTTTAAAAGGATGAAACAAATCCTTGACTATTCAGTAACTGTGCAGTCATTTAAACAGCAAAGAAAACGTCCTTAGAGAGAGAGAATATGAATATTTACAGCAGAAGCATATAATTGGAGCTGAATTCTATAACCATGGCGGAACTTAATTAAACCCTTGTGAAAAATCCATGAAAAAGAACAGGTGATTAACATGTCCATTGTGTCTGGCCTTTTAGATCAGCTTATTAGAAATGAAGAGTAGTGTATCCATTAAAAATGAAGTTTACCTACGATTGCATACTACATCATTCCAAAAAGTATCATTTAAAATAGTGGGAGAAAAAAATCAATTCCAAAATCCTGTGCATTTTCACTCGGGTTCAGTTCTGCTCTTTACAGACAGCACATGTGACTTTAAAAGTGCGCTATAAGAAGAGCAACAGCATCTAAGGGCTGAAAACATCCATTAAGCCAGCCAGAATATGGTTTTGATATGAGGTGGATCGGAATGTCTTAGACAACACGCAGAGCAATTTGTAATGTAATGGATGTGAGAGGGCCTTGGTCAGACTGAAAAAATGGAATGTAAGGTGGGACTGTCCCTGCACTACCCTCGGGGTACCCAGAAGCTCCTTGTCATCACATGCTTTTTGTACTACATACCAAACTACTATTCCCTTGCCCCTGAGAAAAGCCTACTACGTTTAAAAGTTAAGTAAAAGCACCACCGTGTTTCTTTTAGAACTACGTTGAGGCAGCTGTGGTACAGTACACCTGTAATCCCAGCATCCGGAGGCAGGAGCTAGAGGAGGCCAGCCTGGGTACATGGCAAGAAAAAAGAAAAACGCCTATCAATCCAAAAATGAAATTTAGGGAAAAAAAGTAAATGAATCACACACTCCACATCTGACTACGGGGAGGGGATGACCTTAGATAGGGAAATACCATAGTTTTCATTTCCATAGAAAATTTTTGAATTTTCTTCCCTGATTTCATTTATATTTGTGTATCCTTAGGGTTTTACATTGTCTCTTTTATGAGAGTCTGTTTTTTTTTTCTACATGTAAAAGATTGCTCCAGGGTTTCCAGCTTTGAGCTATCTAGGCCACAACTATGTAAAGTGCTTAATAGTTACATCTTTCTCTCCCCGTGTCTGTGTTTAAGATCTGGTGGGAGCCAATTTATTGATGCACTTTCAAACAGACTTACTATGGCAATTCATTCTCAGTCTAAAATGTATTTTCTTACTCCAATTCCTTCTGCTCCAATTTAAACCCTCAACAAACAAACAAAATGAAACAAAATAAAGCAAAACCAAGCCAGCAAATTACACACATGCTCCCATGAAGTGAAAAATTTAGCAAAACCTTGGATTCTATAAAGACATTTCAATCTGCAATTCTGTAGATGTGACTAGGAGATGGAAGAATGAATTGGTACAGTGTAAGCATGAGTGTGCTATTATACCAATGCTAAGCTTTATGACCCTCAAAACTGGCCATGGAGGATGCAGAACTGGTGTACATGCTGGGTACTAAAGTAGATGACTGCTGGATGTTTAAATCAGGCTTGTTTTCCCTGAAATCATAATTGCCCTTCTCGGAACCTAGATGGTTTGCTTATAGTGCTGTCTGGGTTCTAGTAATGGTTTCCTAAGTGGCAGAAAAAACTCAAGAGTCCTGCTTCCTAAATAATCAGAGAGAGCATCTGTCCTCTCACTAAGAGGACTCTACCATGGCTAAGTGCCCTACAAAACCAAGTCCTGTAATTTTCTACATCAGATTTCTCCAGATCCAAGGATCAAATGGATATCTGATCAGTTTGACAAAGATTTGGTTGCAATGTAAAAGAAAGAATAGTGTGTGGGGGGAGGGTGTGGGTTTATGGAAGCCGGTGTGCCAGAGGATAACTTCAGGATCCCTATCAATGCTACGTTCACCTGATTTTTTTTGAAACCGGGTCTCGCACTGACCTGAAGCACAGCACTTGTGCTAAGCTGATTGTCTCTACCTCCCAAGTCCTGGGATTACCAGTGCACCACCACACCTAGCTTTTCGCTGATTGAGGAGATCAAATATAAGCCCTTGTTCTAGCAAAATAAGCACTTTACCAATGGAGCCATCTGCCCAGCCCAAGAGAGAATCTTCAAAGCTATTTCAATGCTCTATGAAGACTGTACATCAGAGTGAACATGAACACAGACCTGGGATGAGTATTAAAACTGTGTGTTTCACAGAAAATATCAAAAAGATGCCTCCTGCAGCATTCAAAGTCGGAGCATCTAACTGTCTTCTGAAATTCCACCCTTAGGTCAAGAGGACACTGACTTGCAGTGCTGATTTTACTACCTTCAAAGTACTGAGTACAGCACAGCCAGGACTCTGGCAAACATCTAACATTAAAATGAATAGAAAATTACATAGCTAGCGATTACAACAGTCCTTGTGGCCAGAAAGCAGAGTCATCTCTAGTCAAACAAATGCATCAATCACTTGCTCACCTATGAAATTGTTCCACTCAAAATCAAGGTCTCCTTGGTTGGCCAAGCAGCCTCTCATGATGTTTGAGCAGTAGTTGTAACAGGGCTTCGCAGTCACCAGGCCCCGGCAGTGGGAGCAGTAGGTCATCTTCAGCAGTGCTTGTGTGCACTGGGCTGTGGGGTTCACCTAATGTGAAACAAGACACAAAGAAAGCCACAGTCAGGTTAAAATAGGCACAATTGGCATCAGAGGATCAAGCGCAGACTGAAGGATGAGTTAATAGTGTTCTCAATCAGGAGGCTCAACTCTAGTGGAAGTAAGTAGAGTGAGAATTAGAGACGTGGAAGACAGGTGCTGGAAAGCTACAGGTAGAGTTGGGGTGAGTGTCAATGTAAGTTTTGTTTTGTATTCATTTGTTTGTTTGGCGCTACTACAGATGGAGCACAAGATTTTGCTGTAATATGACTTTTCAGTACCACACTGAAACATAGGCAGAACCTCTCAAACACAGATTACAAGACTGCCTCTTTGCATGTTAATTCCCAAATATGTTTTCCAAGGATACTTTGTGTATACTTGGTTCTGCATCCAAAGTAATGCAGAAAATGAAAGTGCATGCTACAGGGCAAGATATGAGTAACTTTAAACAATGCAGGGTTTGTGGGAGTTCTCTTGTAACATATAATCAAAGAGATAAGACTTCTGCTAAATTTTGAAGAAGCTACCACATTTTAGTGGAGAAATAAATGGAGTTCATCCCAGAGACATCAATGGAATGAATAAAAGAGGTATGCAAAACAAATTTTTTTTTTTAAGAAAAAGGTGGAGGAATCTAGGATAATAATGTTGCATAGATAGGAGGGGAGTGGGGACTTGAACACTGAGCAGAAAACAAACAGAAACCCTATAGATGAAAGTCTATTAAGGAGTCAGAAAGCAAAGAAAAAACCACTACTGAAGTCAGACTAGGCAAGCCACCCACTACAGAGAAATGGCATTTCCTGTCATCTTTCTCATTCTTTAGGATAAAAATGTTTGGGGTCATGAAAGAGCCAGTTTTATCCCATCATTCATTTCCATCAATAGTCAGAAAGTATCCCAAGGTAGGTATCACATGCTGGCAGCTAACTGAAAGTTCCTGATTTACTCTCTGCCCTCTTCTCTTTTGGAGACTTTATCAGTGGATTAGTGCATTCTTCACTATCATCAGGAACCAGTTCTTCAAGCATAGATTCTTAGAAGCACATACTATTACAGGAAGCAAGTACTGGGATTCAGGGTGGCTGACAACGAATGTCACCTGCTCTGGTATGTTACTTTTGATATCACTTATCAACAGTGCCCTTAGGAACAGGAACAGGAGATGGTACGTACTATCAGGCTATCTGGTGTATGTGAGCGTGCGTGTGCGCGCGCACACACACACACCCTTAGCTTTCTCTGGCTTATTCCCAACAGAACTCCAGCATAAAAGGGAGAAAGCATGCAACAACAAGACGGTAATTGTATACACTAAAGTCAACATTCTCTACGAAGAGTTAGAATTTTTCCACAGTTTTAACCAGTCCCAAATGTTTTCCTAAGCATTAAATTAGTCCCTTTTACTGTGTATTAATGTACAGTAAAATTCTGGCTAACCAATATCCTCGAGGAATGGCCTCTCTGGATAACTAGATTTTCTGGATAGCTAAAAGTTCATTCCTTTGGAGTCACACATTGTTATGACTTTGATACTCATTCACCTCTTGTTTTACAGATGAACAAACGGGCCTCAAGGAGGAAGGGTGTCCAAGTCACAGCATCACAGAATTCTTCACTGGAAGGGGCCTAACACCAGTGATGCTGCTGTCACATTGTAGAGACAGATTAAACAATCTGCTGACAGCCACCTTCCCACATGTGACTTCAGTACTACACCTTATCAAACATTGTGACACAAAGATTTCCCACAGTTTTCCCGACATCCTAAATAGAAGATAGGAGATTCTATTCTTAGGCAGTGCTTATTTTCTTCTTTATTTTTAGTTTCAGTCCACATGAGAGAGACTGCTATATGGCTGGATCTTAAGAGATGTACAGGTTATGTAAATGACTTTTTTTTTAAAAATAAAAAGCACAATACAACTGGGTGTGCTAGAGCGTGCTTTGAATCCCAGACTTGAGGGAGGTTGAAGCAGAAGGACAGCAAGTAAAAGCCAGGCCCTGCTTAAAATAGTAAGAATAAGAACAGAAGAGAGTGAGAAGGAGACAGAGGAAAACGAGGAAGAGGAAGGGAAGAAAAGGAGGATTAGGGAATAGTACTTGGTATGTTGAATATTATTAAGGGCTGGCAATGTCCTGGTGGAATAAATGTAGAAAGCTACAAGTAGACATTGAGCATTTAATAAGTATCTGGGATTATGATGTTAGATATCAAACTAAGTGAGAATTTCTGTATTTGAATATGAAATCTGTTCTATAGAACACAAAGAAATCTTAAGGCAGAATAGACCTTTAAGAAATAAGAAATTATGTATAGGGTTCACCCTCCTCCCCCCCTCTGTGTGTGTGATGGGAGGGGGTTAGGGGATGGGATGGAGAAAGGGAGAGGGAACTGGGATCAATATGTAAAATAAAAAAAAAATAACATTTAGAAGAGAAAAAATAAATAAAACCATGAGCCAAAATGAAAAAGGAAGGAAGGAAGGAAGGAAGGAATGAAGGAAGGAAGGAAGGAAGGAAGGAAGAAAAAACGTTCAGTCAGGATGAGCACATTCAGGGAGCATTTTCCAAGGCATGTTCTATTATTCTTTTTCACAGTGTGAGGAAGACAACTCTAGGAGTTAAACCCAAATTTAACTGCAAGTCAGATCATTAATGCAGTGGACCTTGTGGTGATGCCCTCCCCTAAATGAGCCTGATGCAGTCTCCAGTTAAAAACAAGAGATCAGATGATATGACATGACACAATGGAGTTCTGTTAAAGACAGATTATGGAGATTCACATGGCAATGTTTTTCCATTTCATTTTTTTGGTAAGTACTGGCTCATGCCCTGTGTGTGATTTGTTGTATAGTAACTAAAAATGATCAGAAGACACTGGGCTGTGGGAAGTAATACTACAACTGTAAAAAGAGATGGAGAAATTATAAGAAAACTGGGACAAGGGAACATGTTAAACACTAAAGCTAGAGAAAAAAAAATGTTCTTCCTTCTCAGTCATAAATCAGACCACCATGCAATAGATCATATAAAGGGAATTCAGGACCTAGGAAGCAAATCCCATTTGTGGGATAAGATCTTATATAAAGGGAAGTGATTTTTTTTTTAAGTAGCTAGGAGATTTAAAGAAGTAGAAATCCCCCATAGCACCTTCCCCTTCTAGGAGACATTTCAATAAACTAGCATTTCAGGCCTTAGGCCACAAGTTTACCAAGTTGCTCAAGACTGGATGTTAGATCCAGTGTAACAGGAACAGGCTCTTCACTCTGACACTGCAGTATCCTCACCTCCTGGAGCTAAAGCCAATGGCTATCTCTATTGGAACCATACAGTACTTCATAATGCAAGGCAAAATACACTGGTACAGAGCTGTAGGCATGCCAATAAACACACCGAAGAAAACCCCAAATAATAGGGTATCATGGTGCATTTGAAATTCTCTTCTAGAGTCTCTGTTGACCCACTGATGGTCCTTCCTGCCTGTTACACGGTAACATGTCATGCACTGCAGGATGCTCCTCCACACCTACACAATGGGATCTCTATACTCTTGGATAAGAGTGAAAAGTCCCATCTTTCTCACCCATAAGCAAATATACAGTGTATAAAGTCATATTTTCTTTTGGGACATAGATGGCCTTGATTGAACTCAAGAAATCCACCAGCCTCTGCTGAAATTAAAACTGTGTGCCACCATGCCCAGCTCTGGGACTTTTGAAAAGATAAAAATCAAGTCCATTTTACATTGTACTCCCTGGTGACCATCAGAGTCAATTGCTGCCTTCAATTTCTCTAAAACTTACTTACTGAAGTAGATTTACTTTAGAAGTTCCAAAATCAAGTAGCAGCTCATGCCATGTGGGGAATAATCAAAAGAGCAATATACTCCAAGGTCTTCCTTTAATCCTCAGTTATGTATTTCTCCTCTATGGTGCAGCATGCCACTTAAAATGTTCAACCCGATTGTTACTTTAGGGCATGTCTCTTGACTAATGGCTGTTATGTTTTTCTTGCATTCAGTATGGTCTGCTGAGTCCAGATGTTAGTCATTCCCAGAATCCTTAGTGCTGAGATAAGAACTGGGGTGGAGCTTTTTTTTTTTTTTGGATTGTAGTTTTAAAAAGTCACATTTTTTTTTAACTTCTCTTGGGGATATAGTTATGTCTCAAAAGCTCATGAAGATAGAACAGGAAAACTATATATACCTCCCCTTCCACCTTTGAACAAAAAAAAGTGGTTTAAATCACCAAGAGAGAACATACTTGTATAGCTCTTATAGGTAGGTGTGTGTGTTAGAGAGAGGGGGGAAGAAGAGGAGGGAGAAGGAGAGAAAGCTTGTCCATGTCTAAGCAATGAGTTTGACTAGCATAAAATGGTTGAAAAAGGGGCATTTGAGGGAATAGTTTGTGTGTGAGAGAATTTTGTGTGCACATGTCACCATGCATGTGGATGGAAGCCAGAAATAAACCTTGAATTCTTCAGGAGATATCCACCTTGATATTAATGTTGTTGTTAATATGGGAGGCAGCAGGCTTTCAATGGCCTGCAGCTCAAAATTATGCTAGACTAGCAGGCCATCCATCTCCAGGAATGCATGTATCTCCCTATCCCTAGTTCTGGGATTCTAATCATATACTGCCACACCCTGCTTTTTTTTCTGACAGGAGCAGCAGGAGAGAGAGGGAAAGAGGGATAGAGAGGGGGAACAGACAGAGAGGAAGAGAGAGAGAGAGAGATACCCATTTTAAAATGTGGGTTCTGTTTATCAAACTCAGATCATCATGCTTGTAAGACTAAGACAAACACTAAGTGATTTCTCTCTAGCTGAAGAGGACCTTGAAATCTAGATTGTAGAAAAAGAAAATACTCTGTTTCATGACCAAGTTATCACACATAGCTTTTGCTGGGTTTTATTGATTCTTATGATGCATGTACGGAATACTTAGGATGTACCTACCAGATTCCTATCTAAGGACCTTATGACA